AGGATATTTACATTAAGGTGTAAACTTCCAGCAGGTGTCAACTACTCTACACTTCTCCAAAAGTAAAAGAAATCGTCTCGTTTTGCTTTTCCTCCTTCCTTCCCCTGGTCTCTCTCTGCATGGCCCTTCAGAGTGTGCTTATTATGCCTCCCTCTGTTTGTTTAATGTAAGCCTTGTGAGAGTAAACATCATCAGTTGAAGAGGCTGCAGCTCCAGGAAAGGAATGCAGGCTACGTTCTGTTCCCGTCCACCTATGGGATAACTACTTTATCATTACTCCATTATGTTTGACCTTGGTAATTCATATAGGCGCTGTTTGTTTTTTCTGGATTCCCACCCTCTTCCCTGAGAGTCTCTCCCCTCGGTAGATAATGCAGTCGCCGCGGCTTGTGGGAGACTGAGAAAGGCGATGAGCTGATTGAAAAACTCTGATGGTCTTTGGTCTCTGATGGTTGTAAATTACCTTAATGACTGAAAGTCTCTATTAAGCTGAGCATCAGTTTAGTTTAGAGCCTCAACTAATGATTGTTTTAGTAACTGATTCATCTATCAATTATTCTGATGATTAATTGGATGAAAAAAGATTTTTTTTTTCTTTTAACCACCTTCCTTTTTAAATGGGTAAATAAAATTTTGATTGCCTAAAAAACAATAACTTAGCATTTCCTTAGTAAATCTGAACTGAGTGACGACATTAGAGGAGTTTTGGGTAGAACATATTTACAGATAGTGTTTTTATCTTAAATGCAAAATGTGTGTTATTTTTTTTGTACAGCTCCTGCTCTTGATATGTTAATTCGTTTTTTTACTTCAGTTAATGATTGAGTACTAAATTGTTAGACAGTAATTATAGTAATCGATTAATCGTTTGTCATACTTTGGTTTTATGTGTTGATTTATTGCTTTTGGTTTGTGTTCTCATCATTACAGCACTCGTGGTCAATTATTAATAAACAGCTCCTCATACTTTGCAACTCTCAAGTGTTTGTTGGTGGCTGCTTTTCATTTCAATAGACTAGACTGAGAATGTCCAGTTCATGAATTATGACGTGTACTCTTCAGGTTCATAAAACACTCAGCCCTGCCTGTAATTTGTAGCAGCTTTGTCTCTGATAAAGCCAGTTCTACATTTCCTGCCATGTTGCGTCATTCTTCCACCCAGTTGAATATTATGAGATGTTGCAGCTGAGTGACATGTAACAACCTTTCCAGGTCTGAGGCGAGCTGACCGCATCATCTCCTGTTTCCTCCCTGAAAACAGGCCTCTCCTCCGGCACAGTAGGCCGCTTGTGTTTGTGATTACACATGCATGAGCCCCTTCTCCTCCCCCATCCTCACATCCCCTCTGTTTTTATCACTCTTCTTTGTGCTCGCACCAGTTTCCTGTGTGCGGCTTATTAACCCAGTGTACTGCCTGACAGGTAGATGAGTGGTCTTGTGACTTGGTTGTGCCGTTAACCGGCTGTGAAAACACAAAAAAAATGAGTGTTCACACTGACAAATGCTACAAGATCTGATGGTATGACTCTAATATCCAAGCATGTTGCAAATGTAAGGTATTTACTGGCCCCTATGTGCAACGGGAGGCTCCAAAGACAGATCAAAAGTGGGAGAAACACTGATGTTGATTATGAGCTCAGCTACACACCCACTACCTCTGACAAGAAGGGGATTTTTAGGGACTGAGATGCTTTATGAAAAGCAGCCTTTCACCATAAATCACCCAGCTTCAGAGAAAATAAGCCATGACACAACTGTCCTTGTCAAACGGGTCACCAACCTTTATAATCCAGAGGATTTTGTCTCTTGCTGCCACCAAGAAACATTTGTTTGGGTGTTTTCACACCTGCTAGTACAGTAGAATCGGTTTGAGTGGGTACCAGAATGGCAGCATTTTTAGCTGGTGCGGTTCACTTCTGCATTTGTCAAACGTGTCAAAGGATCCAAACCAATTGGAAAAACTAAGAACCACTGAAGAAAACAACACAAAAATCTTCAAAGACGACAAGAGCGCAACTTCCTTCTAAGCTAAATGTGAATAAACATGGAGTACTGTCGGATTTCAGCGGGTGAAAGATTTCTCTATTGTCTTTGGTAAAAAGACAAAGACATTTCTCCTGCTAGCCCTAGATTCACACATTTGTTTTGTTTGTATTTACTCAGAATTTGTTTAAGAATCCCCATTTATCTTTGCCACAGTAGAGACTATTCTTCCTGGATGTCAACGACAAACATTACAATTAAATCTTCCTTTACAAACGATACAAAAGACTGACCTGCTTATTGCTTTTGGAACGGTGTTCACATATACGTTTGAGCCGCACCGGTGTTCACTTCAACCGAACCGAGACCAGAGTTGGCTTTGTTGGTCCCCATCGGAGTGCTGATGCGCTTTCACTCCTTCCCAAACAAACCGGACTTTCTAGACAAGTGAATTTTGGTTTGATTAAACCAAACTGGGGTGGGCGAGAATGCGTTTTTTTAAAAATTATAAAAACTGCATGGTTCCTGAAAGAATGATTGAACTGCTTCTGTAAACGTACAGTGGAACGGTGTTGCTCAACTCGAGCTTTGTGAAAACTCTTCTTCATGTTTTACTTGGTTCCCAGAATGAACCAATCAAATGATCAAATGATTGGTTAATTAGGGGACACCTGCAAAACTTCAGAAAACCAGGGAGGCAATTCAGTATTAATGAATCTGTGTTGGTTCAGAGATATATCCAAACCATGCAGGACACTCACTCTGGGAAAACTGGAGTGGGTCACTCCTAGTTTAGATCAAAGCATATTAATGCACTACAATTGTCTAGTCAAAGTTCAGATCTAAATTCAACTGAGAATTTGCAGCAAAACTTGAAATTTGATGTTTGTTGACGCTCTCCACTGAAAAACAGATAAATGCTCCCTAAATGTACAAAGTTGTTAGAGGCATGTCCTAAAAGACTAAACTTTAATTTCAATAATAGGTAGGTTGACTCAAGGACGTTGAATACAAGGTCACCCTGTAGATTTCATTTTTGTGGAGGATAAAATAATTATAAAAACAAATTCATAGCTATTTACTGTTTTGTGTTGGTATCACAAAAAATCTAAATTGCAGTTGCAAAATGACATTAATACTTCTGCAAGACACGATCATACATGAAATACTGACGTGACGGTGTAGGAAAATGTCTGTGCTTCTATGATTAGATATTTGAACAATGAAACTACTAGCTTTGCAAACCACTACATCTGAATGTCACAGACAGCAGCTGCTTTATTTAAACTCGTTGCCTTAAAAAGGCCAGAGTGAGCAGAGACGGGTGCAGAGAAAGATCAAATGTCTGGGTTTAAAGTATTTTCATTTTTAACTTCTGTGTAAAACTTTTCCCCAAATTATTTTTTAGCAATTCACCAACTATGGTTGTTGCATTGAGAAAACTCTCATTGAGTTAGTTGAGTATATTTTCAATGAAATTGTAAACATATTGGCAAAGTGGGCCACTCAGAGGAGTTTGTAGCATCTAAAGATTTTTAGGGACACAGAGTATCCTGAGGCAGTCTGGGAAATGAAGTCCAGATAAGCTGCTAGATGCACTGTTGGGGGTTTTCGTCTCCCACTAGACGTGCGCCATGTGGTTTTCTGCCTTTAGGACTGAATGAGCTGGCAGACACCATTACTTGTTGACCCAGGGTTGCATTTACTTGAAAGCCTCCATTATAGAACAACACTGTCTGATGCCTCACATATACTGCCTACCAATGGGAGTTCAGGCAGTCTGTCTCCAGTGAAGAATAAAAGCTGAATGGTGACTCGATCACAGAACATACAGAATCGTTTTTTACACTCACTGGAATTGTTTTTCTTTCTGTAAATGCATACTTGATGTGCTTTAGTGGAAATAAAAAGTACTCTGGCAAATTGCAATGCATGCAAGCCACTTTCTATTTAAGTCTTAGAAACTTAAGATGTCCTAAAGTTTTTCCTCTGCCCACAGCCGTCAGTAGCTGCATTTCTATTACAAATGTGCGCAGAAATTTGTCTAAATTCCACTAATATCTAAAAAAAAAAAACACAATTTCGCAATTGTTTCAATTAAAAAGAAATATAATTAGATTCACATGTGAATAAGTTTGTTCATGCGATAAGTCATTAAAGAACATGCCGTGCCATCCTCCTCCAATTACTTCCTTTTTCTTCATGGTTTCCGCCAGTAGTAACATCCTGTTGTTGATCATGGGACTCGTGCAACGCAAAAAAAAGTGTTTCCATTGCATTTTTGTGAAATATATTTTAAAATTTTGATGTGGACAAAAAAAAATCACCTCAGGCTAGTGGCGTGACTTAATTGGTGTGTTTCAATTAAGCAAATTTATTTTGAAACCTAAAATATTTCTATTATACGGTCAATGGAAACACAGCTAGTCTACTGCTTAAATCATGTGTGTTTCAGACAGTGTTTTCTCTGAATGAAAGGAAGATGCATCTAAAATCGTTAAAAAAGAAAAGTCTCCTTCATGCTCTACTGAAGGGAGGGCCCCACAGCATCATTCACACCGTCTGTTTGACCTCGTTGCTGCGTCTGCTGCATGCTGTTTGTCTTCCTGTTATCCCCATAGCACCGTGCCCACAAGTGTGAGAGTGTATTCCTGTGCTTTGTGTTTCTGAAAAGCTTTTCCTACACCTGCTATGGCTTGTTTCCCAACTCTGGAACCTTGAGGTTTCCACCCACCATCTCAGTCTCTTTCTTGTATTTCTGCTTTTTCAGGCTTCTTTGGCTCTCACTGACAAACCATTGTTAATGCTGACATGCTTTTTGTCTACAGGCGCTCCTAATTCAACGTCAGGACCACCTTGAATAACAAATGCCTCCACATTGGGGCCACAGTCTGCACGCTGCTTGATTTATGCCGTTTTTTCTCTTAGCAGGCGAGGTTTGAGCCTTGCTGTGCGTCAGAGTGGAAGCTGGTAACTTCATTGATGTTCACTGGTGTCCTCCATGTTTTGTTTTACAGACACTACCCCAAGACAAACTTCACCTGTGTGGCTGATACTCCAGAGAACCTCCGCCTCAAACAGCAGACCAAGATGCAGAGCCAGGTAACCTGAAACTTAGCCAAGCAAAGTATTCATTATTTACCAAATGACCCATCACTCTCCTTTTAGGAATTTGCAAGTTGCTGGTTGGTTTGAGTTGAGTTATGCAGGTGTTTTCACACATGTCTTGGATAGTTCTCATTCCCAGTCTCAGTGTTGAGCCTTAACAAATTTTGGAAGTGGTCAACTTCTAAACCAAAAGCTAAACAAACCCACAACTTGCAGTGTTTCATCAAATTTTGGTGATACGGTGTCTTTTTTGTCGCCTACTATCGCGACAAAGTCACAAAGTTGGCAAGAATAGGGTGATTATTAACAGCGCATGTGCAAACGTGACCTGGTGAGTCAGTCCTCTATCCCAACAGAGCAAGAAGCAACTGGCTGATTTTTAAACTTTTCCGGATGTAGATAAGTTTGGTAGATATGATCAATTTCTTATTTATCAGCCGATTTCCCAAAATTAAGGAACTCAGGATGGCTATATTGGTGTACAACTAATACAAACAGCAGCTCCCATGTAAAAAGCTAACCTTTCATAATTCAAAATCATGAATTAAGACATTTTGGAAAGATTAGATCATCTTTACTTGCCACGCTCTAGCCTCGTTGCTGCCCGGCAGTTTAAAGTACGCCAATCAACGCATCGTGCATTGAACAGATGACAAAAAAACTTCACTGATAGAAAACTGGAGCAGCGATAAGCTGTGTTTTATATGTACTCAGGTTATCTTTGACTGATATTGACACTAGTTTAACCTGGAACATTTAAATCAGGAAAAAAGAAACGGAAATCTAACAAGTCAGAATTGTTTTTGTGTCGAATTTAGCGTTTTTCTGATGAACACCAAACTTTTAACATTAAAAGATAAACGGGACAAATTGATCCTAAAAAAACTAAAATTAGCTTAAATATGTACAATCAGCATCATCAGTATTGCTGTATATTTGAACAATCCTGCAGCTTTTAGACACTACGAAGTCTAAAACATGGAACATTTTAGGCTAATGTTATGTATCAAGTGTTTTTAAATAACTTGGCAGAAAACCTTGGTTTTTATCTGGTTGTTGTAGTTTAGCCTTACCCTGAATCAAGACTCATCCACACAGCAGCAGTCAGGGAAATTTTGCTTATTTTCATGAGAATTACCTGGATGAAGTAGAGGTAATTGACCCATTCCTGCTTTTACTGTGTCATAGTTGTAATATTTGACCTATCTCTCTGTGTTTTTGCAATGCCGTCACCAGATGGATTTTGATTTTACTGCTGCAGTTTTCCCTCCATGTAATTTTCCAGTCCAGTGCCCTATTTGCAACGAATTAGCATTGCCTAAAAGCCTTGTGGGAAAATTCTCTATCAGGTCTATTTTTATACATTCCCACTGAATAAATAAACGTGTTTTACTCAAACGTATTGGAATTATCCTATCTACTCCAATCAACCATGACGAGGGGTTGACGTAATAAACATTGCTCTTCCTGTTCAAAGGTTGTGTTCTGCTGCAAAAGCTTTCATCCTGTCATGAGTCACATTTATTATTATTTTCATACTGCAAAATAAAAATTTTTACAGACTCAACACACCCCCATCTTGGCAACAGCAACCGGCTTTAGTAGTAGCACATCAGAGGGCCACGGAGAATCTGTTTTTATTCTGCAAAAGTGTGTTCCGACATCAAAAGAGGTACCTAAAAATATAATAATTCAAAAGTCTATGAAGTCAGCAGCAATCTTAGTAAATTGGGAAATGAGTAAAGAGTGGGTTTATTTCCTTGTAGATTCATTATGCACACTTGCATTGAGTGGAAAGAAAAATGTTGTAGAAAAAGCACAAACAGCAAAAAATAGCTGTCGTTTTGTAAGAATTGTGAACATGATTTAGATTTAAGAGCGAGTCTGAAGGTGTGTTGAGTCACTCTTGAACCAGAGACTTCAAAAGATTTTTACCTGGGTCCAGAAAAAAAGGATGGACTGGAATTTGGTTTGAAAATCAAGGTCCCAGATTTCAGGGGAAAAGTGGAGAGAAACAATTCAAAGTGCTTGAATTCCAGTGTGAAATTTCCACCGTTTCGGATGATTTTCCATGTCATCTGCTGCTTCATTTACACAGGTTTTCCATGTAATCTGTGGAGTATTGTCAATAAGGCTTATTATAAAGACGTCATTCTATCAGAGGAGGATAAAGTTGTAATTTTATGATAATTCAAACACAAGAAATGGCAAAAAAAAAATTAAAAAAAGAATGATGAGCATCTTGTCAAGTTATACTTTAATCATAGGTGTTACAGATAAGGAAATATTTCCTCTTTTAACACTTTTTTTCCACTAACACAACTTTTTTTCCCTTAATTTTAAAATTTGAAGACATTCTGATAAACTCTTGTAGCCTTGCCCTGATATTCCACCATACAATTCACAAAATCAATCAATCAATCAAGTTTATCTGTACAGCACATTCAGCATCAAGGTGGTTCAAAGTAAAAATACAGAAAATAAAGTTATAAATATAGTCAATAATTAACAAACATTACATTTTGATGAGGGTCATCACCAAACTCGTACACATCAAATATGTTGGTCAATGCTTCATTGTTGGTCAAAAGGCATGATCAAAATAAAAGCCACATTTTCTGTCATTTCTAGTTTATTTTTGCAGAAAATAAATCAAGAAAACAAATGATTAAAATCAAATCTGGTATGACAAAAATGGAGATTTTATTTTTACTCCATGTTGTCACTTGGAGGAGAGAGGAATAAAGCAAACATAAAGACCAGAATATCTTTCTAATTTAATTATCCAGATTTTATTGCAGTTGGTTGGTGTCTGTCTCCAGCAGTCACACCTAAAGTGTTTACAATTAAATCTGGTGCAAAACTATTTTGACACTCAAAAACCTTTGAGGCTGTCTGTGGTTTCACTTCTCTTATTGGTGACTGTCAAACTTTGGTATTCAAGGAACTTGTTTGTGATTGTGGGAACTTAGGTGCACAAACTGGCTAAAAATGCCTCCTCTAGAGACAAAAAAAAAGCTCAACTTTAAGAAGCATTGCTGCATTAATCTAGATGGAGAGAAGCAGGAGAAAATGTGTGAGAAGCTGTGAAGGAGGAGTGTTTTCTCAGCGTGCAGCAGAGAAGAGAGAGTGTTGTGCTGATAGGAGGGCAGGGCTTATCAAAGCGTGGGTCTAATCCGAATGTCATTGTCAGACACTACAGATGAGACGAGGGGTGTGTGTGTGTGTGTGTGTGTGTGTGTGTGTGTGTGTGTGTGTGTGTGAAAGAAGGGTGCTCTGTGGAGTGGGGATGTTGGTCATATGGGGAGGGGGGTTAGTTAAGAAACTGAGGGACAGATGGTGTTTTTCCATGTGGGCCATACATCTAGACATCCCCCATCATAAAGGAAGCATGTACAGTTGAAACCAGATATTTACATGAAATGAATAAAAAGACGGACTTTTTTCCCCCCTCACTGTCTGAAGTTAAATCGGACCAAACTTTTATTGTTTTAGTGTAGTTAAAATTTCCCAAATTTTTTCTTTTTGCAAACATTGAATTTTTTTTTTTTTTTTACATACATTAGAAAAGTTTTTTTTATTCAATGAGAAAAAGATGTGTGTATCTTCGTATTCATTGTATGTAAAAATCAGATTTCAACTGCATGAAGATTGCAAAGCTTTCTTTTTGTTGTTTCTAAATGTTTGGTGTTCAGTAAACCGATACTTAGAAATGTTTTCAGTGCCAACATTTAAAAGAAGGAACTTCATTTTCTGCTGAGGTGTCAAAATACATTTGTTCTAAAAATAAAAGTGAAGGTTGTTTTTGAAAAGCTTCCAGTGTGGAGCTTCTATGAAAATACCAGAATAACAACTCTTAACACCCCTTTTTTTTTATTCAAAAGGTTCGTTACATATGATATTTTAACTTGCCTTTGTATCACTGGAAGAAAGTTGAAAGGACTGGAAGAAAACAGTAACTGTATTCAGCTTCTCATCCCCACCGTTCATGGTGCTGTGTTGCTAGAGGAACCCTATTGCTATGGCAGCAGGGTAGAGGTTTGTCACACCTCATTACAAGACTTTGCGGGGGAAAACTGAAAGGAAAAAGGGCACAAGAAAGAGAGAAATGAAGAAAGCAGTCTGAATGAATCGAAGAAGCGATGAACGAGGCAAAAAAAAGAGGTGTGCAGGTTAGAGGAGGAGATAAAAGCAAAATCCCAAGAAAGAGAATGCCGCAGGAATGCAAATGGAAGGAGGAAGGATGAAATGAAAGCTTTAGATCTCGAGGAGGAGTTTCTGATGCTGTTGAAGCTTTAAAATATGAATGAATGAATGAATGAATGAAAGAGGAAAAGTCGTGGGTGGGGAAAGAAAGCAAAAATGTGATTGGCGCAGAGCGAGCAGGGGTGTTGACCCTAAAAGACAAAGGAGATGGGTTTGGGAAATCAAATGAGACTGAGTCGAGACCGCTTTATTCCCAACGTGTCCCTTTTTCAGGGTTTGAATTTCTGCTGCAGTTATATTCTCGTGGTTCCATACGTCACAGGAGACTGACTGAAGCATGGGCGTATCACGCTGAATCATGTACGCGCTCAGATTATGTGTGAATCACAGTTGTGTCATCTCATCACAAGGCGTCAAAAGATTAAAGGAGGATCGGTCAGCAGTCTATTAGGCCGTGTCAGACATTATTTAGACATCTGAGAGGGGGGGGTAGGTATTTGTTTCTTGGTTGCAAACTGCAGCCATCTCTCGCAGGAAGGTTAGACCGAGACTGGGTGCTTCAAAAATAACACCTGGTAATGCCTTCCTGTTTCATCTTCAGCTGGAGCTCTCCATTTTGAGGCAGTCAGAGAAAACTCGTGAGTAACAGTTTTGCCTGGGCTGGACATTTCCTCCTCTGCCCTCAGGGTCAGAAATGGGTGGGTGGGGTTGGAAACGCTCACTCAAACACCGTTTGTCACTCACTACCTCTCGTTTTGACCATATATGGTTGCCAACATGTCCTGTATGGAAGGCCTGCACTCCTAAGCAAACAGGAAGTTGACGTCATCACAGAAAAACTGAGCGATACGCGCAGGACCCACCTTGTTCTGCTTGCACACATGAAGCACACACAGCTGACTTATCTGTGTTTTATATCAAGCATAAATTGCGGCTGTTTTAGCAGCACGACTTCCTGGTGTAATAATAGAAATGTCATACCCATGTTTACTGTAACAACAAACTATAATAATAATAATGTGGAATGTTTTTTTTTTGTTTGTTTTTTTTACACACCAATTAGTGCATACAAAACAAACATTACAGACTAACAAAGGTATTTATCTACAAAATAACCATTTACATAAGAGAATAAACAAAAAAACAGGGTATGCATAAACATGGATACATGTAGGACAAAGACAAAATGCAGAACAATGTGTTAGTTTAGCAAATATGTAAGTGTTTCAATTTATCTAAAATAACTCAAACCCCACTGCAAATTAGGTTTATTACCATAACTCACATTTATTAAGGGGTGTGTATTTTAAGGAAATTACACAAGGACAGTTCAGTTAAATAAAATTAATACACGCTGCTCCAAATGCAGGAAGTGGACGACAGCACAGGGCATTCTGGGTAAATGCAAACCAAGCAAATGCTGGAGAAATGATTGTCGTGTTTTACTGAAGACCAAAAAGAAATCCTACAACCGCTAAAATGTGACATCTACTCCATTTTTGTTTACTCTTCATGAAGAAGGAAGTTGTGCTCATGTCTTCCTCTTCAGTTTTTTTGTCGTTTCCTGCAGTGGTTCGTGGTGCAGCGCCCCCACAGGTGAGGAGGGGAACAGGTTTTTCAAAGGTTTTGGTTCGTTCCACAAAGTGCAGTGTGAAAGCGAACCGCACCAGCTGAAATATGTCCAAGGCAACTAAGGCTTTGTTTCAGAACAAGACCTGGACTTGAAATCTTAGAAAAATATCTGTTGGGATTAAAAAAAATGTCTGCCACCCACATAACCCCAAGATCATAGGATTTTGTGTTTTAATTTGGAGAAACATTTCGTCATATTTGTTCTACTAAGCAATTTAAATAGTTTGCTTTGTTCATTGTAAACAGCTGCTAGTTTGAACATTTTGCCAAGTGTCCCACTTTGCTGTAACATTTTAACTTGTTGCTGTTTTCTAATAGTGTGAAGCGGTAGTAAATCCAGCCGGAGAACATTTTTCATGCATCTATAAAAGTCTTTTATTAGCACAATAAAACCATTACAAACACAGGAACCAAGTGGTTACGAGGTGGAAGCTAATCCCAACTATCTAAGAATCTAGGTCAAAGCATCCATAAATTATAATCTGCTCTGTATTTGTTGACTCACAAGCATCCATTTGGAGCTATTTTTCCCCCCAAACGTATGTTCCTCACTTGCCGATTTTTAATCGTTTCCTCCTCTCTGACATCTTGTCGCGCAGGTTCACTACAAGGAGGACTTTGAGAAGAATAAGGGCAAAGGTTTCAGCGTGGTCGCCGACACGCCAGAGCTGCAGAGAATTAAGAAAACGCAGGACCAGATCAGCAATGTAAGTGTTGACAGCAAGGACCACTAAAACAAATCACTATCAACTTCAGAAAACTGTTTTATACTCGTTTGAAGACAATGTGCAATGAACTGATTAATTTTGTTTCTCTCTTGCAAAATAGAAGATTCAATTTGTGGTTGATGACTATGCAGGTTGAGCTAAAAGGAGCTTGTTGGTTTCTTTTATTAAATTTTCTAACCTCAAGCTAACCCTTCTGTCAAATTAGGCTTGCTAGGTGTTTCTTTGAGTCATGAGAGGAAACTGCAGAAGCAGACAATAGATGCAGAAGCATCTATTGTGGACCCTCGAGAAATCAGTGAATACTTGAGAGATCCTCTAAAAATCTTAATATTGCTTATTTTAACACCAGATATGTGCACAGTAGAAGCCATTTTAGCACTTCCTCAAAAGCTAATATCTACATTGTGTCTTATTTCTGCTCAATCAACACCAGGGAAAATAAAAGATGTGCCTCAAATGGGTAGTTTGCAAAAGCCAGCTAGTAGCATGTTGAGTATTTCAGCATATTTTATATATGCTCTCCAAAATAAATTTTTTTTTGCAAATAATTTAGTCAAGTTTCACAGGAAAATCTGCAGTTACTGAACCAGAAATGGATGGGAACCCATTGCACAATAGTACTTTTAAAACTGCTTCAAGAAATGAAAATCTAGACTTTTTCATAAGTTGTACCTTCGTTCACCTCTTTTCTTCCACTGAAATTGTTGATTTACCATTTTGGTGTGAAAACAGGACTGGAAGTGCATCAAATGTTGATTTCCTTTCCCCAGTCTCTCCTCAAAGTCTTCCACAAAGACCTTTATTTTCATGTGAAACAGACTCGCACACAAAACACATCATTACACACAACCGGCTCTGCACCGGCCTCACTAATGACATAATTAGTGTTGAGGGTGATGGGTAATTGCTGCTTTCATGCAATGAAAGATCCTGCTTGTCTGAGATCAAGGAAGTGTTTACGGGTGGGAACGATGCACATATATATGACATGTACATATGGATGTACACACACAAGCCACATCTGTTTAACAGAAACACTGATGCGGTTCTGAGTGAAGTGCTTTTAGTTAAACCTGATCAGACATCTGCTTGCAATCAGTCCGTCATTTGCAGCCGATCATTAATGAAGAGCTACACTTTCCTGCTGTTTTTTTTCTCCTTTCTTCCATGAAGCAAATCTTCACTTGCTGTCAAACAGCAAAAACGGAGAACTTGTATATCTGAGGAGTTTTACTTATCGCATTAAATCCACACAGATGCTATCTGTTCAACCTGCTCCCTCAAAATAAGCTAAAACAATCTCCCTCACACACTCTCTCTTAGCATATTGCTCTCAAGAACAGCGACTGTGTTGTCTCACTCACTAGCTTCACTGTTCTTGGACAAACACTGTCATCCCATCCAGTCTGTGAATACACTCGCTGCGAACGCCGGCAGCACAGTGGGCCCTTTGAGATGGGGGCGTTTGAATCTTGACCCAGACGCTGTGAGTCAGTCTGTTACCAGCCTGGTAATAAGAGGGGTGGGTTATTCAGCCCCAGTGTCATCACTCTAGTGTGTTTTTTATCATGCAAAGCAGAGGTTGCCAATATTAATCAGTTATTGTCTTGCAGAAGTATTAATGCATTCTAGACTTCAGTGCATTTTTATTGGGATTTTGAGTGATAAATCAACAAAAAGTTGCGCATTTTCTTTAATCTTAACCTTGAATCACACACTACTCCTGTGCATTTTTATTCTACTGCCTTTTACACTGAAGCAATTAAATAAAATCATGTGTGTGAATTCCTGCCTGGCGACCTGGGCAAGCGCAGTGTTATTTATGTGTCATAATCAACTGTTAACTTCAGTTGTTAAAAGCGCTGCATGCATCAAATACATTGAAATTTACTTCCTGAAGTTGGATTTCTGTTTCTTTAAAAACTCCTGTTCCTTCTGAAACTCTGCCTTCAGGAAGTCACCACAGCATCGCTCCTCCATTAACCTTTTAACAACGTTTCTACCAGCGTTGCACTGAGAAGTGGCTCATATGATGAGCTTTGCTGATGCGCAGTTCAACCAGGTGTTTGCTAATTGCTTCTGGCTAGTCTGAAGGAGCTGAGTGGGGATTGAGGCAGTAGCTCCGAAGCTTGGAAACTGCAGCTCTGACAATAAATTGTCCCAGATTTACTGCAATAAATATTATTGTTTTGCTACCATTTTAATGTAATGGCATAATAATGCAAGTACACCGTCAGAAAGATGGATAAACTTTAATTCCTAACAAAAATTGAACACTCACACTGGAAGACATTTTAACTAAATGAGCAACGCAACAGAAACGACAAATAAAATGTAGCCTCTGTGAACAAAATTCCCCTTCAAAAAAAAAAAAATTCCCTTAAAAAAAGGGACTAGTTGAGATCAGACTGAAAGCTTTTGTCATTTGTAAAGAGAGCCACGAGAAACACAATTATGCAAATGGGAATTATCCATCTTGTTTTAATTTGGCATGTGATTAATTGATTATTGTGACAGGCTTAATCAATGGGAGAGGTATTGATGTTCTTAGAGGAGCAGTAAGATAAAAAACCTATGAAGTTCTGCTTGAAGCCACACCATTAAAAAAGGGGATGCTCCATCAGGGCTTTGCAAATGTTCTTATTTCATATGCAAATAAAATTTGGTGAGAGTTGTGAGTTTAGCCAGAGTTTTTATTTAAAAGCGCGACCCAGGAAGAAACCCATAATGGAGGCTGGAAAACCTCCAAAACAGACTGGTTTAGATCAGGCGTGTCCAAACATTTTGGGCCAAAATCATCAGGTGAAAACTACTTCCAGGCCAAGAAAATAAAAAACAAATAAGATCCAACAAATAAAGTAGACGGACTTTTTTTTTTTTTCTTCATACACCCACACTTGACTAGAATGTTGCACATTTTCTGTATTATAAGAACGGGATATAATTTTCAAATTTCTTTAGGCCCAGTTCGATAAATTTATTTGGTCACTTTTTTTCAAAATGCTTGCGATAGTTAGCCAAGTTTAATAAATTATATTAAAGCTTATTTGGGTGCAGAAAAGTTGATTTCTCAGTAAAAGTCTCAGGATAGACGTGGCTGTACTTATAAAAGTTTATTAAAAGACAAATACTTAACATTTTCCATTGCACAAAAAACATATTTGTAATTATTTTACCCTGATTTAAAATTAAAAGTTTAATTTGCATTGTTCTTGTAAGGGTTGGGGCATAAAAGCTCAGTCCAAGGGCCACAAATGGCCCCCAGGCCGCACTTTGAACACCCCTTGTTTAGTTAAATAATCCGATTGAGTCCTGAAATGTGATGATGGACGACCTCAGTCTACGTAAAAATCATCTGGGGTGTGCAAAGCTGCATGCCACATTAAGTCTCATCTGTAAATAAGATGTAATGAGATAAGAGATGATGAAAACTCTTCATCCAAGCATTTTACTCTCATGCTCCACTAGATGTTGGTTTTCTGCATATAGTTGCAATTAAATCCATTGAGTTTTTTGTAAGGCGCTACATGTCACTGTACCTCCCTTTGTGCATCATTGGTTTTCCCATACTTACTCTTATTTTCTCACCCTGAATTTTTGAATTTCTACCTTCTTTCTTTTGACGCACTTTTGCTTCATGATGTGTGTGGGTTGTCATGCAACTCTGACCTCACGATACTTCCGGCTGTGGAGATGTCATTTCCTCTAAGCATCAAGCTGCTTCCCCAGCCGTGGCAGCACGTAGCGCACCCCACCTATCAGCAGCGGGAGAAACTAAAACACAGGAAGTGGGAGCCCTCTGGTGGCTGGAAAATGAACTGACAGGCTGTGCAAGGGGGGAAAAAACTCCATGCAAGATTGAATTTGACGGTGCATTGTCCATGCCTGATGTGAGCTGACTCACCGTTTGTGTGTTTCAGATCAAATACCATGAGGATTTTGAGAAGATGAAGACTGGTGCAGATGCTCCATATCAGCCTAGCAACCCCAACCAAGGTATCTATCCTGCAACTCGACACATAAATCATCAGAGAAGCAGTCAGAAGTGTAGCTTCAGAGTAATTTACTGTTTTTTTTTTTTTTTTTTTTTATGGATTCACTCACTACTTGCCTTTCAGGGGTTTTTGTTGCAACTTGTTCATCGCCCAGCTATAAATAACTGCATTGCTACAGTCGTTTCACAATCCGGACAGCAACCATAGTACCACTTTAAGTTGTTTAAACATATTGCTCAAGTGTTCAGTTAGAAACTTTGGGATAATAAACATGAAAAATGCTGAGTTCACTCATTTTTGGAGCCCCCTAGGGGATCTGGTGAAAAATAAATTAGGTTTTTTGTGTGTTACCTTGCAAATTATTTTGCATTTCCCATGCAATAATGTGCCTGTTCGTTCATGGAGTATCTTCAATACTGAAAGTCTTTCTGCTGCATTATAAAATTATTGTAAGGTTTTTCTGTGTACATTAATATTTGTGAGATATCCAAAGTGTCAGATCTGCAAAAAGCGAAACAGGTCAGTCATGTCTCAGACATAAACAGAATTTATCTGTAAGTAGGAAAACGGTTTTGACTGTGTCTTTTTCATGTTGGTAGTCTAAATGGTGAACCTCCGTTCGTCCGTTTTCATGCACAATCCCATCTCCACCTTACGCAAACAAACAAAAACATACAGTTAATAGATTGATTTTCAACCAGTTTCTGCACCAAAGACTTCAGAATGTAAATACACATTTTCAGAGGCTTTTTAAAGGTGAACATCTGTGCAATTTTAAATTGACATTTGTTATTGCTGTGGCTGTATACAAAACAGATCAGGGTGCATTTGCTAATTCACTGCAAGGGAGCGCAAAAGAAAAAATGCTGCAGCAGCTTGGTGGAAAAGATCCAGCACGATGAGTCAGACCGCTGGTTTATTTTACATGCTTGATTTGCAAATTCAAACAGAGATATATTGTTTAGATGTTGAGCAACAGGGAAGTTAATAGCTTGCCTTGACTTGCTGTCTTTTTATTTTTTTTTTCAATCTATCGTTCTCTAAAAGAAGCAGTACATCCAAACTGTAAGGCATGTGGAAGGTATTTTTCTTTGAATGTGCACATTTATAGCCTTCTACCGCACAGCTCCCAGCAGGTGCTGTGCTTCAGATTTAGCTCTCAGGAATTAGCTTGCAGCTCATTAAAGTGCCCTCCTTCACCTTTCTTCTTCTCCTTTTTATCAGGCTCTTACCAGCAGCCTGCAGCCTCCCAGGACTACCACCAACGTGAGCCTACTCCTGAACCAGTGCGTGAGGCTCCTGCTAATCGTCCCAGTTCTGGGGTGAGAGCATTCGCGCGTTTCATTTAAAAATGTTTTGTCTCCGTTTTGGTCTGCAACTGATTATTTTAATCAGTTAATCTATCAGTTGTCCTGACGATTAATCGGTTATCCTGACAATTAATCGCATAAAAATTGGCACTTTCTGCTGATTTTTTTTTTCATTTTGCCATTTAAGCCTTTTTATGCAAAAGTAGAAGTACATTTAAAGATGAAAATAAACAAATAACTAAATTCCTTCTTTTAATAAAACTAAAATGTTATTGCTTAAAATGAAATAAGCATTCTTTTAATGATCATTTGTAGCAAAGGATGCATCTGCAACTAAAAAATGCTTTTAACGTCAATATGTGAAAAGCTGAGCACTCGACCGAGCATCAATGCTCAGTATAGGGCTGATCTGGTGATTATTTTCTTAATTATTTGAATTTCTTGGTAGAAAATATTTATAGATGAAGGTTTTTGTGCAATTTTGACCTAATTACAGCCCTGAGTAAGTTATCAGCAAATTGTCTTTTTTAAAGTCTGCGTATTGCAGTTAACAATTAATCAGTTACTAAATTGGTTGGCAATTATTTCAACTAATTAACTATTGATTAATCATTTTTAGCCCTACTTCAGTTCTTTATAGATTAAGTAAAATAAATCTTTTGAGAATCCTGTTGAGATGTGAAAGGAGTCTCTGGTTCAAGTTTTGAAAAAATCAGCTTTATTTTTTTATTTGAAATGTTTTTATCAGTTTGTTTTCAGTAAAGAAAGTTGGTCTACATATTGTGTAGACGGTGCAAGTATTTTTATTTTTTTATGTTAGTTTTTGCTAGAGATTGGCGTGAAATGTAGGAGCTTCGTTTGTGTCGTCCTTTACGTTAACTGATGCTGCAGAATTCTGGTTTTTATTCATCCTTCTTGCACAACTGTTTTTTCCCCTTTTGCAAACTAATTTTTACCTGATAGGGTGAAAACTAGTAAGTTTTCTGTTTGACACCTTCCTTTCTGAGAAAAAAAAAAAAACAGAATGCGACTATCCAGTTTCCTGATGAACAACTTGATTATAATTGGCTTGTTTCATACTTTTCAATCTTTTAACGCATTTTAAGGTGATGCTGTCATAACTCTACAACTAATACATGTTTTTTGAATTAATTTCCATTTAAACAATTGCAAGTCTGTTAACCCTTAGAAGCAGGAAGTAAGGATTTCATATTTGAATCTCTCTTGTTAAACTGCTGCGGGCATGCTTGCAAGTTTCTCATGCAGAACATTTTCTTCTCCACCAAACTGACTTTTATTTACTTATTTATTTATTTTTTATTTCATTTTTTGCCTGCAGAGGCGATACAGAGCAGTGTACGACTACACTGCTGCCGATGACGACGAGGTGTCTTTCTTGGACGGAGACATGATCGTAGATGTGCAGAAGATCGACGACGGCTGGATGTACGGCCGCGTGGAGCGCACCGGCCAGCAGGGCATGCTGCCCGCCAACTATGTGGATGAATTTTGAATGATCGGGGGAAAGAAGTAAAGTAAAAGAGAGGAGAGAAAGAAAGAAGGGAGGGAAAGAAGGAAAGGAAAAGCCCAGTGCCATCTCATCTTAACACCGCTTTCTCTTAATTTTACTCTGGTTCCTTAAAAAAAAAAAAAAAAAAAAAAAAAAACCTGTCCTGCGACCTTTAACCTCCTCCGCTCTGCATCCCTGCTCTGCTCTCACTGTCCGCCAGCCTGCTTCATGTCTGTCCGTCTGTGCCGAAGTCTCTGCTTCCTCTCTGTCCGCTCACATCGAGATAAACTCGTCACTTACAGAAAAATCATCAGGTCACACGGCGACATCACTCACCAATCCTGACGCGCGTGAATACAGAGAAAAAGTCAAAATAAAGTTCCCTGCAGTCAGTCAAACTGCAAATATCCTGTAAAAACAAAAGTTTTCATCTTAATTATTGAGCTCAAACTTTGCCAGACTGGAAACAGTGTTTTATCTCAGTCTATCAGTTATAAGCTTGAATATTTTTTTCCTTTTATTTAATTTTTTTTCTTCTTTGACTTGTGTACATTCCTTTAACTTCAAGTTCTGTGGCACCAATCAGCCGCGCAGAGCAGAGAGGTTTTAACGTAGACGGATCTTAAGCGTGTCGTTTGCTGGGTGTTTGCTGTGAAACTGGAACATTAGCCTAACTGAAGAGCCTCTCCTGCCGCTCACACTCAGGAGGGATCAGGGACAAGTTAGGGAACAAAACCTCTCAAATCCACCTCAACTTAATGTGATTATACTGTGCATATGCCCTTATTCCTGTTTTTGGAGCTCCACATATTTATCTGTTTATTAGAAGAAGAAGAAAAAAAAACTTCCCCCTATATTAGAAAAATCACTAATAAATGGTTTTATAAAAGCGAGGGCCAAGCACAACGTTGTATTGTGATTCTCTTAATTTTATTTTTTTTTTCTCCACTGTTTGTGTGAAACATTCCAATCATTTCTTTCTATTTAATGTGAGAAAAATCCTTTGCTGTGTTAAATGTTGTTTATCTCATTGCTGTTCTTCTTTTGCGTGTCTTATTTTGATTTTTGTTTTTTAATTGAAACTTTCGGTGTGTTTAAATAAAGTAAAGAATTGGTTTTGGGACCCAAAACAATAGAGGTCATCATGATATTGGATCAGGTGTTGGAGTTGTGATTTTTTTTGTTGTTGATCTTTTTCAGCTCTGTCTTGCGGGTTGATCCTAAACTTTTTTTTACATTTTATTTTTAAATCTTCTGCCTACGAATGAAATAATAAAAGTTTTCTTGTTTATGAGCTCAATTTTGAGCCTTTCACACTCAAACTTTAACAGAAAGATGTTCGCTTGCGTCTGGCTTCCCCTTTCCTCTCCCATGATGCACTGTGAGCGTCACAGATTGGAGCGATCAGAGTGGGGCAGGCGCGAAGGGGTCGGGGTTCAAACTTGTTCAGCTTTGTTGACATCATTATGTAGCTAGATGACATTGTATAAATGTATATGCATCATAAAGTGCTCTGGGAAGTGGCTTGCCTGCAGGAGAAGCTGGTTTATATATATTTTTTTGCAAATGTGAGGCAGTAATTTGATTTTAAAAGTCGACTCATGGAAAAGTTAGTGACGAACATCCTCGAGATCTCACAAATCTGCGTCACGGCGTCTCAGATAAAAACATCATCTCCACCTATAGGCTATAGATCATGTGATTAAACTCAAATTTTCCTCGACTGAAGAAAAAATGGAGGACATGATTTCAGGCCTAATAGTTGCCCAGTTATTTCTCCATTTCTCTGCTGATTACATCGAGTCCGGCTTGTTTTGTCCCCCAGGGTGCGACTGTCGGTTTAGATGACGGGGTTGTTTGAATGTGGCTCAGGCTGGATTTGCAAAGTGTTGTTGTGATGGAAGCGTTTGGGGTTTTGACGGGGGACAGACGCTCTCTTCCTCCCAGGATGTGGTGCAGGGCAAGTTGAGCTAAATGCCTCTCCTGCACCCCGACTTCACTACTGATCCGTACGCCGCTCCTTCCAGTTTGTATCTTTTTCCTCCTTTCCTGCTGCAGAGCCTCTTTCCTTCAGCCTTCGTCTATCATACTGGTTATATACTGTAGACTTCTCAGAGTGAAATCATGTTTATCCACAGTTGCAGGTTTAGCACCCCGGACAAGTTTTGTGCATTCCATATTAAACTGTTTTTTGTTTTTGGTATGATTTTGTTATTAAATGGAAGGGAAAAAAAAGAGGATATCTCATGCATATTGTCATACGTGTGTATTGAAAAGTCAGAATACTCAGATTAAGGACCTGATATCATCTCCTGTTGCCCTGTTACAGCACTTCAAATTGTACTTATGATTCTGCAGACTCAATAAAATGTCATTTTTTTTCTCAGACTCCTGTTTGTGCCTTGTCACAGCTCTCAATCTTCTAAAATCAATGTTTTTGCAATTTGCATGAAGGCAAAGGACTAAATTTTGTCTCATTTGATCAAAGCAAGTCCTTCCATGTTCTAATAGATTTCTTTAAGTTATAATTAGTTCCCCCCATAAAATATGAGATATGGCTTTAATTTTGCAAAGCATAAAACATTCTATATGAAGGATCTGCCATCTTCACAACCTAAAGAGACATTTTGATCTCAGAACAGCAAAATAAAACTCCCTTAGACCTGCAAATTGTGGCTGCAGCTAATGATTATTTTAGTAATCGATTACTTAATTTATTATGATTAAGCAGATAAAATCAACATTGGAAGTTTTTTTATTTTTTTTATCTTAGGTGGGATTTTTTCATGCACCTAACATCACTGGAATGTTTTGCCTGCTTGCACCTACTGTCA